TATTCTGGAATTGCTATCTGATAGGAATTAAAACCTGCCACACATTGGGCTGTATCTTAAACCTGCTTCTAATTACCGTAACAATGAATGATGGAATTTGAAAGAAAAGGGGTCTTCAACTCACCCAGTTCAACTTCTTAGTTTACAATTGGGGGGAAAAAAAAAAAGAAGAAGAAAAGAAAAAAAAACACCAGCAAGGTGAAAGTGCTTTTCTAAAATGATTGCCAGTGGGTAGTAGAGCAGGAGTTGGGGTACCAGTCTCTTATCTCCCAGATGAAAAGCCCTCCCACCATGTTATTCCAACTATCAAAGTCTGTGCTCCAGCCCAAACAGTGTGCCCTGCTTCCACTACTTGTCACAGTCATTGGGGCAGTGAACTCATTTCTTTGACCTCAAGGCTGAAAGTACACAGAGTAGCTCTTCTGTGGCCAGAAAAGGTTGTTCAGGACAGGAAGTGTTAGGATATCAGCTGTCAATCAACAGTGAGTTTATTTATCCTGGTTGTTACAGAAACTCACTTGACAATCTAGCAAACATTTGACAGATGATAAAATAATGAGTTTTTTCCTCTCCCTTCTACCTGAACATTTACTTGTTTTTGTTTTTAGAGGGGAAAGAACCAATCTTATTAATACATAGTATTGAGAGTGAGTAGGACACAGATTCATGAGTGGGGAAGGGACTACATACTAGAGGTGCAGCCAATACACATGCCTAGGGCTGGAGGAGCTTGTGGCAGACAGTGGCACCCACCTCGTAGAACTTTCAAGTGGACAATGAGGTTGAGTAGGTAATATAGGGTGATATAGTGGAGAACCTTAAGTTTGGTTTAAGGAATTTACATTTGAATGGAGTACTGGAAGTTCTGAGCAGGGCTGTGACAAAAATTAAAGATAAATGACATGGCCAGTAGCACTGTGATAGATGGGGGAGAGAACAGAGTCAGAGAGACCAATTAGAGACTGTGTGGTACTCAATGAGGGTACACTTTCAAAATTCCTCTCTATTTCACCTCTTGACAATTCACAAATGAAAACCTAATAGAATCACTGCAGCCTCCACCCATGTTTAGGACACACAGCTGCTTCTCCTCCACATTTAGACTTTTGCCCCTTCTTTCACCGACCCCAAACTGCCTCACCTAAGGAACCAGTTCCACAGCAAGATGGAGTCTTTTAGACTCTCAGCAGCCCCTAGCTCCTAGACCCACAGCTGAAACTGTGAACAGAAAAACATAGAAAAAAAAATCATAGAAAACCTTATTATTTGACCTCTGACCATCTTTCTAGACTTTTCATCAACTCTTTGACTTGATGAGCTGAACTGACACTGGGAGCCATGAGTTATGGGTCAGAAAAAAGAAAACTGAGAGAGTTGCAAGGAAACCATGAGTCCGTGGCCTGTCAGGAACCTGGAATGCACCAGAGGATAAGGTAGCAGCAAGTTAGCAATCAGAAAAGGAATCAAAACCACGAGTGCCACAGGGTGGCACTTTAAGAGTGTTTTTTTTTTTTTTTTCCTCACAGGTTGAATTCTGCACAGCCTTGCCATTATGTTGTCTATCACAGGCTCCACTCTGTTCTTCCAAATCCTGTACCTTCTTTCTTATTCATGCTCAAATGCCTCATCCCCCGACTTCTGTCTTTCTTCTTATCCATAGGGTCCCATGACAGCTGCCATCAGCCTGCTGACCAAACTTCCATTGAGTCTGTGGCTTGCCTTGTTCTGACATCACTGCCCAGTGGCGTCTGTCTCCTCTCAGTTCAAATGCCTTATCCTTGAGTTATGTTCAAATTTTCTAAATCCGTTTGGCTCTCTGCAATATTTATCAGAACCAGCCCTTTTATTTATCTTCCTTGTCTGGGGTTAACCATCAGCCTTTAACCTCTTGGCAGTGTTCTTTATCCAGTTTCTCCATCACTTAACCTATGTCTATACTTTCATTTATCTAAACTGGCACTGAGAATATCCCTTGAATGTCATTCAAATCACATTACTAATGAACCTTCAAAGGTACACATATTCCTTCCTAATAACCTGTTTCAAATTAATGCTCTTGCTGATAAGATGGATAGAGTAGGAAGCAATGTCAGAGAGATATTTCAAACAGTATTTTATAGATAGAAAAACTAAATAATTAAGATAATTTCTTCATAGTGACCATCAGTTTTTAAGCATCTCAGTCTTTCCAAATTGTTCTTTTCCAATTTACAATCCAAACAAAGCCCTTTCTTTCTTCCAGTGCCTCATCGATTCATACATCCTCTCTGTCCAAACCAACTTCAGAAACGGCTCCTTTCATCTTGTAAAATCTGTCATGATCTGACACACAGTCCTGTCTAGAAAACCTAATTACTGGGTGTTGTTGGGGTTTTGGTAGCTACTATAGATCAGGACTTATACTTCTCTGTAATCTCAGTAAACCACTAGGACTATGGCTTCACTGTGCTTCCTCCTCATTCCTTCCTCTGCATAGAGGCATCTGGTCATTGGAAGTGGGTCAAACATTGAAAAAATATGTACTTTCTCAAACAAACAAAAGTTGCCGCAGTCTGGCTGGGCACAAAATCACGAGCCACTCAAGCAGGAACAAACTTTATTTTTGAAACTGCTGCCAATACCCCGTACACATCCGGGAAGAAAACCGATCCACACACTCGGCGGCGTTCTCCTGGAACCCCAGAACAAGTTCCTCCCCAGGAATTCCCTCCTACTGTACTTCCCCAACCAATGGGAACTCTCCAAGAGTCCCGTAGCAGGCCGAGGTGAACAGCAGGAGTCCAATATCCACATGAATGCAAATCTTAACATAATCATATCATCTCAATGGCTAGCTGGCATCACCTTTCAACCCCAAAGTACCATGCATCATATTACTTGGCAAATGTGACTTTGAAACTGCAGGACACATCATGAAACCAGCTGTTGAATGTGTATCTAGATACACACAGAGATACATACACATGGAGCATATATAATCCATACATATTCATACATGTTGCACTTTAATATAAAGTCATAAAACTTCTTAAACACAGATACTATGTATAAGAATTTTATTTGAGAAGTTCCTGTCAACCAGAATGCAATGTGTCCATACATGGAGTTTTCTTATTTTTCCTGTTTTCTGAAGTCCTTTTCTCCTTCCTTTTTTCTTTGCAAATTTCCACTGATCTTTGACCTTGATCCTTGATAGAAAGGCAGCCCCTCATCGCTGTTACCTTCCATTTCTCCCTTGCTCAGGCAATTCATGCTGGTGATCTGGTAAAATGACAAGATTAGATGCAGTCATGGAATTTAGCTGGAGGGAGGAGGGAGAGGAAAGGGATATTTGGCAATGGCAGGGAGACCAAGGATCATTGTGCCACAAGTGATGATAGGCACAGCCATTCAGACAAAGTAGTGTACACGGTCCTTAGATGAAGAGTCCTGTTTGGGGGAGCATCCAGGAAAATGTGTCAGATTATCAGTTACTAGCATGGGAAAAGTTACCAATTGACCAAATCAATTTGTGCATGTTGAAGGATCATTAAAAGGGAGAAGCAGGGAGGAAAAGGAGGAAGAAGCAAAAAGTAGACTTTGGTAAAGACTAGAGGATACAAGAATAAAAGGGTGAATTAGTATGAGACAACCTGAGGTGTCCACTTGCTTCAAGCAATTCTAAATCCTTGTCCTTTCACTTGTGGCCTATTCTCCACCAACAGCTGTGATTGCTATTTTCATTCTGAAATTCAGCTCTTCCCTTGCCAGTCTTGACACAACATTTTAGGCATGTTTTGAACATGACTCATGATACTCTCCAGAGGGCAGAAACCACTTCAGTATTCTATTCTATTGGTGCTCAGCTTCCTGACCTACTAGGTATTCTCAGACCAAGATGCAGGAGGAATGCCACAGGCCATTTGAGAAGGTAGGGATTACAGCCAAGACATTTGGCAAAGATCACTAGACCACATGAGAGGCCTAAGGGACAAAGGGAAGGAGATTAAAAACCTAACTGCCAAAGTTTTACTTAATCTAAAAGGGCTTATTGATTAGATAGCACCATTCCTTCCATTAGCAAGCATGACTAAAATGTTTGCAACTCTTTCTGATTTGCTATAAGCTGGGATCCCAGAGAGGAGAGATGGAGGGAAGGTTAATGAGCTCTTTAAACACCTTGAGAAATAAAAACTTACCTTTAGGTAAGACGAGATTGATTTTAGGAACATAATCTCACCAAATTCATTCATTACTATTGAAGTATACACCTTGCAGACAAACTTTTGCACTAAATAATTGATTTTATTTTTGTCCACAAAATACAAAGCTTTGTACTACATTATAGTAGTGTTCCAGCACAAGAAAATCCAAAGGTGTTCATAGTGATGTGGTTTATATAATGTGACTTCTATCATTCTTAAAATTATTAAATAGTCATGACAAAGTAGACTGACCCTGTATGACATGCGTATTATTGCTTAGAACTTGCATGTAATTTAAAATGGTACACATACAAAGTATACAAATATTTCAAAATTTTAATGAAAATATTGAGACATATTATCCCTTCATTCAGGCAAAGCACAACCAGAAACCAAAATAAAGAATACTATCATCATATTTTAGTTCTTAGTAACACTGATTTATAAATTATCTATTCTTATATTCTATAAATAAAAGTACAACTTTATGAAAATAAATTAAAAAGTATGTAATTCACAAAATGTTAAGTGTATTTTGAAAAACTTCCAAAAATTTTTGACAATATTGAATATTATATATTTTCAGGAAAAAATTGTATATATGTCACTATAGGTATTGCATGTACTGCAGTTTTCAAGTAGCTTTTTCAAATAAAGTCTATTTAAATGTCACTATTACAAATTCTAATAACTACCCAAAGAAAACTCATAACTTACCCTGGTTATGAGTATTATCCACATGAAAGTTCCTTAAGTATAAAGTAGACATAATCAGACCAGAAACAAACCAAGCAAGAAACAAACATACAGCATGCTTTATTTACAGCTTTTTTTTTTTAGGTTTTGTTAGCCAAGTAGCAAATAACTGAGGCACATTTAATTGCAGAAAGCATTACATAAGAATATAAAGGACAAAATATACAAATGATGTTTAACAAGTTTTCATCCAGAGGTATCATATTTATAAATATTTGAGATTTAGAAACATTTCTCATTGTTTTGGTCTGCATGAAGGGCCTGGTATCAAAACTGATGCTCAGTAAGTGTAAACATTATCAGTGCAGAGAGAGAGAGAGAGAGAGAGAGAGAGAGAGAGAGAGAAGAAAATTCTAAAAGACCTTTAGGAGATGTCTACAATATTTCACTGCATTCCAAAATATCTTCCAGTTAGGGTACTTATTATCAAAGCTAGTAGAGGCTGTTTGAAGTCTAGGTAAGAAAGAAGTAGAGCTCAAGTCCATGTCAAGTCAGTGGATGTTATACTCCAGGAAACACCAAGTTATCTGTTTGCTAGTAAACTTGTTTTTGCGAATATTACCATAACAAAGATTGCTGTATGGAAGAGCAGGACTTTAAAAACTGTTACAAGTCAGATCTCCCCCTCACAACAGAGTTAGGTCAGTTCTCCACAATCCCCTTGTATCATGGGATCTAAGAACATTTACATAATTACATGCCTACAATAAATCCCCAGCTGAAACATTTTACAAAACTTATTGCTAAACCAGTTTAAGAAAGAGATTACAGATGTTTCTTAATAAAACCATAATTAGCTTTGCTTTGTGTTATAAACAGGTATTAAATGCTCAACAGCTTCCTGTAGCCTCTTAATAAGTTGTGGTTTGTCTGATCTCTACTTAAACTTACTACAAAGCTTTTTAAAATGACAGAACCTATTTGTAAACCTTTAAATTTGCCAGCAGATGGAGGAGCTTACAGATGAACTGGAATGTCTCAGAAGTGAACACAAAAAGGTGTCAGCATGAGGAAGAGAGGTGCTGATGAAGTTTTGGGGGTAATAGGAGGAAGTGATGGATGGGCTAGAAGGACTCAGAAAAACTTCTGGATCTGGGAGAACCCTCATCTTTTAAGGGAAAAGCAGTCTCAGTGTCTCCTCCAACTCCAGATCCTGTGAGCTTCTTGTATTCCTATCATATTTTTGCATCAGAATTCATTTTCAGGGCTGGGGCTACAGCCAGTTGTAGAGTGCGTGCATGGCATGCACAAGGCCCTTCATTCAATCCTCAGCACCAAAATACAAACAGAATTCATTTTCAATAGCTTTAGTACAAGTGAGCTGTGGTTAAGGCTAGGAGGTGTGTGTGCCTTCCTGTCTCTGCACACAGAAAGGGTCCTACTGTTGTGCTGGCTCTGACGTGTTGAGAGACATTGAGCCACTCCTCAAATAAAATGACATATTCGCTCTTATGGAATCTAAAACATATACCAAAATATAAGCTTCTATTATGTATAATTGGTGATGTCAACAAATAAGTGGGCTTTCAATTTCATGCAACAGAGTAAACCACTAAGCGCCAATCCAGATGTATATTTACATATTTGGAGTTAAGAGCAACATAGAAACAGAAATTTATTCAAATATTTATTTTAATAGGGTCTTTTGGAACATGTTTATTTTCCTTAAAGATGAAACAAAAGAAACATGCACATTACAACAGTTCTTTCCCCTATGTATCTCCATGAGAACAATGTGTCTAAGTACATTATGAGCCGCTGACAGTAAAACACATCTTTCAAACCATAAAGAACATTCTCCAATCCATCTCAGAGAAGGTGTAAAATTTTAAAACTGTCACTTTAGTAAAAACCTGATTCAAGTAAAAGAAACTTTAAAATTAAGGATTTGATTCAAATACCTATAAATTAGTCAGTTTTTAAAAACCAGATCTTTAAGACAGTACTGGGTCATCCACAATATATGAATCACTCTTAGAGATGATAACAATGTAACTATCATTTCACTAACAGAGAATTAGTCTATAAAATAACAACACTTAGAATAAAAAATGTCAACATACTATAGGGTAATTTAAGCTTGAGTTAATTTCTTTGCACTCACATGTAACTTTGTTTTGTGTTTTAAAATAAATGCAAGTAATCCTTAAAAACAATTTGGGCATAAGAATGCAAACTCTTATAAACTCAAGTTCACAATTTTTAAATTCTTACAAATAAAACATTTAATGCAGAATCTGTGATCTTGCAAGCTAACAGTTGATTTTCATTCATTTTTAAGTTTCACAAGAACTTTTGTTTTCTAGAATACAACACAGGTTGTCACGAATTTTCTAGAAAAATAGAATTGCTTAAAAATTTATACCAATTTGCATTTATTTTCTATAAATATTTTAATAGTTATTAAATATCAGAATGCCTGATAGAATCATTTAAATTAATCCATGTAGCCAAAATACTAAATATCTAAAATGTCTAGCAAAAGTTTGTCATTTAACAAACGAAAATTCGTTGTTTAATAAATGATATGTTCTGTCTTCATTTATATTTTAGGTAGATGGATACAACTGCAGAATAGCAAAGTATAGCTCCTGTAAAGATCTGACTTAAAGAAGCTTAGTAGTTTGTCATGACATTTCCATTTCATATATTCTGTATATAAAAATGTACAGCACTATTTCTGAATGCTGAATATGGATACTGAATTAACTGTCATGTAGCCAACCTAAGGATTTCTAAGAGAACAACAAGCCTTAGTTTAAAACTTTGATATTTTAAATATAATTATTTAATGAATAGCTTTGCCAATCAGTGAAAGATAATGTCAGTGACCAAAAAAAAAAAAAAAAAAAAAGTTGAAAGCCTGAAACAACTATTGAAACTGCTATATGAAGACGCACTAACATAGCTTTATATTTTTGTCACTTTGATGGTGGGTTTAAAATCTGTGTTCAGAATTATAGAAATATGCAAAGAGTCAAAAATATTTATTTCAACATTTACTTTCTAAGGAAACAATTTCCAAAATAGTTTTGCAATATAAATGTCTTCCTTTTTAAAAAAGCTACTTTGCTTGCAAAAGAGCAAGGATAAGACAAAAATCACTTGTTTTGTACACCCTCACCCTCTAGATAACCAGTACATATTTAAATGCCTCTGATGTGGGCAGCAATAAATTTAGTAACCAATTATCAATGTAATATTAACTGCTTTAAAAATAAATACCTACAATTTGCATTACTTTGTCTTCAAAAAATAAATGTACCAATCAACCTTATTTTATCATTTAGTTATTGACTGAGATTTCAATTTGTCTTTGAGTTCTAGAACTTATCAGGCTCTATCTGCATTGGACAGTCAAATTAAAAGTATTGATGATATTCAGCTAACCTCCTTTCATCATCCTAACATGAGCAATGAAAATGAATCAAACATTATCCTTTAAACCCAGAAACAATGGATTAGATCTTTAGGTTTGGGTTTAATTAAGTTCAAGTATTCACCACTAGTTGAACTAAATCTTTTTTTTTTTTTTTAAGTAAGAACAATCATTAAAGTCAAGTACTTGCAAAAAATAAATAAAGATATTAAGAACTAAATATATAATTCTATATTTGGATTGCAAGAAACAAAGTGAATACACACATATATACACACATACACAGAAAAACAGTCATTTATCTTCACATAAGACAATAATTTTGAAAACCAGAATGCTTGGATTAAATTACCTTATTTCCCTCCTGCTCTTTAAGAAAAATTCAAAGCAAGCATGAGAATAAATTGTGAGTAAAGTAAATACTGATTTTTTTTTTTTTTTAGTTTTGGTTTCACCAAAAAAAGGATTATTTTAGGGGCAGAACAAATCCATATTGCATAAAACTGGTATTGGTGATGATGGGTTCTGAACTTGGGGAGATTTTGCAGATATAAATATTTTTTCATAGAAAAAGTTCAAGGGAAGCAGACAAACAGTAATATTAAAACTTTTTTCTTAATGATTCCTCCTATCAGCCTAAGTGGTCATGTACCAAACATGCATTTCTTTAGAAGAAGAAATTCATCCACTAAGGAGGTTTATAATGTCTGTCATAAGAGATAATTTGATAAAATACTAAAAATAGAAGAAAGTGACATTTAAAAAACTGTAAAATGCAGAAATATTTTCTAATAATTAAACTAATGAAATATTCCAAAGTGAGTAAAATCCTTCATCATTAATAGATGAATGTATATCTGAAATGAAAAAAAGTCATTTCTAATAACCTAGGAAAAGAACATGTCAACAATTTAGAAATTAACCCCCATATAGGTGTTGACATGAGAAGAGTGCAGCATAACAAAATGTTGAGTGCTATTTACCGATTTCAAAGTAGTTCCCATCCTTTCTGCAAAATTGGTGACACATCAAGTGTGCCAAATCATCACAGTCCTCTTTCCACATAGAAAAATACCAGTGCAGGCCAAGAGATTTCTGGAAAAATTCACCACACTTAAAATTTTTATTTAAACCTTTAAGATTTTAACCATGCTTATAATGCAGAAGAAAAGAGGAAATCTTGGAATGAAAACTAAATTTTAGTTTCTCTTTTCTAAAGGTTAAAAAGAATGACACTGAAACCCTGAATAACAATTATAATTAATAACAAAGCACAAGAACATGCCAAGATTTCATCCTATTAGTAGGTATAATGCTGGGTAGTAATGAGGATTGCTTATCTAAATGAAGGTGTTTGACAAAGCACACCTTTAGTCAACTTTTCCATTCTGAAGACGATTGTTGGCTTTCTCTTGTCTCATGAGAGAGATGACTTTGATGCACCCTTTTGAAATTTTGATCATCCACATGACATTCATCACATCCAAAACAATACAAGTAAAAATCCAGGAATACTGGAGTAAACATCCAAGCCTTCTGTAGGGTTCTGTTCCATACACGGCAAGCATGAAGCCATACAAAGGAGGTATTGCTACTATCCGAACAATGAAGAATACCACCGTCATGAGAATTCCATTGATGACGTTGGCTTTGGAAAACTTAGAATACTTCAGAGTTTCAAAGAACCATCTGCAAAGAGAATTAAAGAATCATCATATTCTGAAAAGCTGGGAGTTAACCATCTTAATTTTATGTTTCAGTTTTTAAAGTCAGGGAACATCCTCTTAAGGTATAAACCTTAATATAAGTGGAAAGGCAGAAAGCTAGAACAGCTTGCACAATACTGGAAAGAACAAAGCTGGGGATAGTCAGCACCCACTCCGGCTCTTACTATAAAGCTGCAGCATGAGACACCATGGCACTGGTGAAGAAATAGGTGAATAAAACCACAGAACAGAAGAAAAAGCTCAGAAATAGCCTCACTCAGATAAATACTTAAGATGATTTTGGACAAAGTCATTTAGTGAAAAAATGTGCAAAACTGTATGTCCATATGCAGAAAAAAGAACTTAGGCAGAGAACTTACAGTTCGTTCATAAATCAACTCAAATTGGCGTAAAGGCCTGCATTTAAAGTTCAAAATTACAAAAATTTCCAGAAGAAAACACAGGGAAAAATATCCACATGATCTCAGGTTGGCTGGTTTTTAGATAACATCACCAAAAATGCAATCTATGAAAGAGAGACATTGGTAAGCTGGACATCACTAAAATAAAAAACTCACTCTGTGAAAGACACTATTAAGAAAATAAAAATACAATTATATGCTGGGAGAAAATATTTAGTGCACACATATATGATAAAAGTATATGAATCCAACATAAACAAAGACTTCAAAAGCTAAGCACTGAAAAAACAAATAACCCAATCAACAAATGGGCCAAAGACCTGAACAGACACTTCTCAGAAGAGGATATACAATCAATCAATCAAATCAAACAAAAATGCTCATCATCTAAAACAATCAGAGAAATACAAATCAAAACTACTCTAAGATATCATCTCACTCTAGTCAGAATGGCAGCTATTAGGAAGACAAACAACAACAAGTGTTGGTGAGGATATGGGGAAAAAGGTACACTCATACATTGCTGGTGGGACTGCACATTGGTGCAGTCAATATAGAAAGCAGTATGGAGACTCCGTGGAAATCTGGGAATGGAACCACCATTTGACCCAGCTATCCCTCTCCTCAGTCCACACCTAAAGAACTTAAAAACAGCATACTACAGGGACACAGCCACATCAATGTTTATAGCAGCACAAATTACAATAGTTAAACTGTGGAGCCAACCTAGATGCCCTTCAGTGGATGAATGGATAAAAAAAATGTGGCATATATATATAATGGAATTTCACTCAGCGATAAAAGAGAATAAAATCATGGCATTTGCAGGTAAATGGATGGCACTGGAGAAGATAATGCTAAGTGAAGTTAGCCAACCTCAAAAAACCAAATGCTGAATGTTTTCTCTGATATAAGGAAGCTGACTAATAGTGGGGTAGGGAGCGGGAGCATGGGAAGAATAGATGAATTCTAGATAGGGAAGAGGGGTAGGAGGGAAAGGGAGGAGGCAGGGGATTAGCAAGGATGGTGGAATGTGATGGATATCATTATCCAAAGTACATGTATGAAGACATGATTGGGTGTCAACCTACTTTTTATACAAACAGAGATATGAAAAACTGTGGTATATATATGTGCAATAAGAATTATAATGTAAAAAAGAAAAGGAAAAAAAAAAGAAACGGCCGGAAAAAAACTTAAAAAAAAAAAAAAGAAAAAACGGGCCCCAAAAAAGCAAAAAAAAATGGAAAAAAATCCCCCGGTGGGGAATTAAAAAAAAAAAAACAAATAAAAAAAAAAAAGAATTCAACATATACAAAGACTCACCAATATGCAAAATATCCAACTAAAACTAAGGCAAAAGATCTTAAACATCTTTTTAGAGAAAAAGGGAAACAAGCACATGAAAAGATGCTTAATGTCGGGTACAGTAGCTCACATCCATAGTCCCAGCTATTTCAGACACTGAGGTGAGAGGATCATTTGAGCTCAGGGAGTTTAAGACTAACCTGGGAAACATAGTGAGACTGTAACTCAAAACAAAACACAAAGAAACAACAGTCAGCATTGTATTAGGAAAATACAAATAAAATGAGATGCTACTATATAGCCATAAAATGGTTAAAACAACAACAACAATAACAACAACAATAACAACAACAAAAACAAGTACTAATGAGGTTGTAGACCAACAGGATACTCATTGATTGCTGGTGGGAATGCAAAATTGTAGCCTCTTTAGAAGATGGTTTATAGCCCCATCCAGCAATTACATTCATATTTTTCCAACTAATCAAAACTTAGTAAATAAATGTTGCTTTTATTTGAAGAATAAGTGAGAGGTACTCAACCCAGCCTAGAAAGAGATGGGGATTGGTGATAAAAATGATCTCTGGGTTGAGTGCTGAAGAATGACAAAGATGACAGGAGGCCCTTGACAGAAAATGGAAAAGTTGGCATGACATCAGATTTTTGGGAAAATGTGCCAGAAAGAGGTAAGACAGCTCCACTTGGAGAGCTTTCTGTGTGATGTTAAAGACTCGTACTATATTCTATAAGCAGCAGGAGCCACTGAGGGGTTTCAACCAGGAGAGCTGCATATTATCTTCACTGTAGACAATAATAATATAAACGAGAGAAAAAAGGGGAACAAGACTGGAGGCAGGTGTATGGTCTAGAGCTGACATCAGCAAACCTTTTGTAAAAGAGTCAGAAAGTGACATAAATATCACTGCCTCTGGAGACCATACATTTTCTGTCACCACTACTAAGCCTTGCTGTCCTCAGAAGAAAGCAGTCATGGTAAACAAAGGAACATAGATGCTGGTGCAAAACTTTATTTACAAAACAGCAGTAGAGTTAGCTCACAAGGCATAGTTTGCCAAGCTGGTCTAGAGTAGCACCGTTCAAAGGAAATTTTTGGAACAATGAAAATGCTCCTTTTGATATGCTGCTCAATTCAGTAGCCTTGGACCACATGGGGCTATGAAGTCAGACTAAGGAACTGATTTTTAAGTTTTAATTAATTTAAATATAAACAGTCATATAGGTTGAACATCCTAATCATAAAAACCCTAAATCTGAAACTTTCTGAGAATTGACACAGTGATATAAGTGGGAAATTCCACATGTAACCCATGTGATGGGTGATAGTCAAAATACAGGTACACTACAAATATTATATAAACTTCTCTGTAGGCTCTGTGTATAGAGTGTATATGAAACATAAATGAATGTCATGTTCAGACGTGTCTTCCCCAAGATGTGCATATGTGCACATTATTTGCATATGCAAGTATTCCAAAATCCTAAAAAGTCTGAAATCTGAAACACCTGTGGTCCCGAGCATTTCAGAGAAGGGCTACTTTACATATACTGTAGCTCATGGTGACTCTGCTGGACAGTGCAGAGTTAGAAGCAGGTAAGGCAATGTGGGCAAGATGGTGATGAACTAGGGCCCAACAGTAGAGATGGAAAAGAGGCAACAGAGATAAGAAACATAGTGACAGAACAGATGAGGAAGAAACAGGATGATTCCCACATGTTGAACAGGAGCAACTGGGAAGAGGGCCAGATGTCAATCATGAGACACAGGGAGAGATATATGGCATTATTTTAGACATGCTGAATCTATTGTACCACCTAAGAATATAAAACATGTGACTATGATACAAAGACAACATATAATCATAAAAGCCTTTCCTTTGGTTTGGGGACTGAGGGTTTAGAATGAAGGGTAAGTAATTATTTTAAGTTTGCGGGGAGGAATGCTTGGGAGGCTGAGACAAGAGGATTACAAGTTTGAGACCAGCCTTACCAACTTAGTGAGACCCTGTTTCAAAATAAAAAATAAAGGGTTACGGGTGTAGCTTATTAGTAAAGTTCCTCTGGGTTCAATACCCAGTACCCCCAAAACAATTGGGGGAAAATAAAAGATATGGGAGAAACAAAGGAAAAAACATGAAAACAACCCTCAAGTAGTAGACAGACTATAAAACTGCGTCTGAGTACTAAGAAATGTGGCTGGAAACAGAGCACATCACAGAGAACTTCCAAAGCCAAAGCGAGCAGAATAAACAGGATGTGATGTGTAGTCAGAAAATAGGTATTGAAAGTGGAACTAGGAAAGATGACTCTGGTATCAGTGTGAGGAGAAGGTTGAGAGAGGAAGAATCTGGAATTAGGCAATTCAATCAGAAAGCTCTGAAGTGATGGAAGCAGTGCAAATCCTGAAGGCCTAAACAGGAACCATGGACATGGAAAGAGGGACCAAACAATTCACAAAAAAAAGAACTACCAGACACTGCTAAATGAGAAGCATGGTAGAGGATAACAATAAAGCCAACGTCAAAAATGAACAACTCCCTCCCTCTTTCAGTGCCTTGAGGGTAGGTTATACTTCGAGCCATGCTTTCAAAAACAGAATATGGGGGGCCAGCAGTCTATAATGGAGGAATCTGGCAAAAAAACACGACCTCAACCAAGTGTTAAAGGTTAATATCTCCAGTGATATCATGGAGTTGAAAAGAATCCCTGATAAGGAATGACAAGAAGAGTCCTTCACCTCTGTGGGGGTATTTCTGAAGTCCTGTAAGTGTCTATTCATGAGATAAGCACTCAAAGAACTCAGATTGGGGAACATTCTGTGAGAAAACTTGCCAGTACTCCATAACAAGGAGTCAAGAGCAAGAAAAATAAGAAAAGACTAAGAAACTTTTACAGATCAGAAGAGATTTTGAGGACATTTCCCCAGATTGAGGAGACAACAAAATGCAGTGTGGCACTCTGGTATGGACCCTAGAGCAGATGGAGGACACTAATAGAACAACTGATGAGGCCCAAAAGGTGTGAAATTTACTTAACAGTAACATATCTTAGTTTTGACAAATGTTTTATGGTAATATAAATGTTAACCTTGAGAAAACTAGGCAAGGAGTATGTGTGAGTTCTGATCTATCTTTGCAATTTGTCTATAAATCTAAAAAATTTTAAATGATCAATTTTAACAGAAATTTTAAAAAGCACTCATTTATAATAACATCAAAAAAGATAAGATACTCATGAATAAATTTAGTCAAAGGGGTAAAGTTGTCTATACTTAAAATTATAAGACATGTTAAAAGAAATCATAGATCTAAATCAATGGAAAGACATTATGTGCCCAAAGATTAGACTGATTTGCACACACACCAATGGAACAGAATAGAGAGCTCAGAAATAATCCCTTCCATATCTGGCCAAGTGACCAATGATAAGGATACTGAGACTATGCAATGGAGAAAGGACCGTCTCTTCAACACATGGTACTGGGCACACCAAACATCCACATACAAAAAAATGAGCCCTTACCTTATATTACTTATAAATTTTAATTCAATATAGATTGAAGACTGAAATTTAAGATCAAATTATAAAACTCCTAGAAGAAAATATAAGTAAAAGCTTCAGGACATTAGATTTGGCAATAATTTCTTGATATGACCCCAAAAGCACAGGCAACAAAACATAAAAACACTCTCCCTTGTTTTTTTAAAATAGGAGTTCATAACCCACTCGAATCAAATGTATGGAAGATGATATGTCATGAGCTTTGTAATGTTTTGAACAACCAATAAAAAAAAGAAAAAAAAACATAAAAACAAAAAATAGAACTACAACAACCCTAAAAACTTCTGCAAACGAAAGGGAACAATCATCAGAATGAAAAACCAATCTATGAATGCAATAATATATTTATAAATCATATATCTGATAATTTAAAAATAAAAATCCAAATAACCCAATTAACAAATGGGCAAATAAATAATTTTGAATTTGAATAAATAATTTTTCAAAGAAGAAACACAAATGGCCAATAAGTATATGCAGATACTTGTTTTTGGAAATGAGGTATCCCCCAAAAGCATCTGTGATAATGCAGGGATAATTCAGAGCTGAAATGGCTGAGAGCTTTAAGCTAATCAGTCCATCCTAATTTGAGTGAAATAACCACATTTGAATTTGGTAACTGTAGGTAGGTGGGCATAGTTGGAGGAGGTGGGTCTCTGGGAGCACACCTTCCCTGCAGCCCCTTCCTTTCTCCCCCTGCCTCCTGTCAAGTCAGGGGCGGACCAGCTTTCCTCTGCCACATTTGTGCCATGGTGTTGTTCTGCCTCATCTTGGGCTCAGAGCAATGAAGTCGGCTGACCATGGACTCAACCTCTGAAACCATGAACCAAAATAAACTATTTTTCCTCTAAGTTGTTCTTGTCAGGTATTTTGGTCACAGTGATGGAAACCTGAATAATTCAATACTCAATATTATGAATCACAGAAAAATGCAAATCAAAACCACAATGAGCTAATGCTTCACGTCCATTAAAATGGAAGCTAGAAAAATGATAGAAAATAACAAGTGTTGGGGAGGACATGAAGAAATTGGAACCTTTGTGCACTGTTGCTAGGAATAAAAAAATGTACCTACTCTGGAAAACAGTGTGGAAATTCCCTAAAAAACTAAAAATAAAACTACTATATAATTCATCAACCCTAGTTATGAATATATGTCCAGAAGGATTCAGAACAGGATCTCAAATATTTATCTACATACCCATGTGCAGTGCAGCATTATTTACAATAGCCAAGAGGGGCAAGCAATTTAAATATCCATGGAAGAATGAGCAGATAAAGCAAATGTAGCATACAGATACAAAAGAATAGGTTTGGTTTTTAAAAAGGAAATCCTATCACATGCTACAACATGATGAATATTGAGGACAATATGCTAAGCTAAATAAACCAGTCACAAAAGGACAAACACTCTATGGACCATTCAAATGGAATTTTAAAGTAGTTTTGGGGAGGGGGAACTAGTGTTTAATGAATATAATCTAGATTTTTCAAGATAAAAGACCTAGAGATCTGTTACACAACAACATATTTAATACTACTGAGTATACTTAACACTACTGAACTGTATTTTTGAAAATGGTTAGGACAGCCAGGAGTAGTGGCACATGCCTGTAATCCAGCAGCTCAGGAGGCTGAGGTAGAAGGATCACAAGTTCAAAGCCAGCCTCAGCAAAAGCAAGGCTCTAAGCAAATCATTAAGACCCTGTATCTAAATAAAATACAAAATAGGGATGGGGATGTGGCTCAGTGATCAAGTGCCCCTGAGTTCAATCCCTGGTGCCCCCATAAAAAATGATTAGGATGGTTAAATCATTCTCTAGCAATAGCTACCAATATTATACATTGTTAGTTACTTATGCTATGTCCAGATATGAAATAAAACTAGCCTTTTAATTTTTTTTAAGTGAAAATTAAAAAGTTGTTTTTTTAAATGAGAGTCAAAGATAGTGTTGATATCACAATTTGGGGACAGAAAGGGTGCTAGTGTCAGGAATATAAACTAAACCTAAGATGAGCCAGAATGATGCCATGAAGAACCCCCACTGAATTCTAAGATGCAGTGAATACAGTTCACTGTGCAGTGTACATCATGAAGGGTGAAAGAATGAATGTCCTGGAACCAGGCATAAAGCACAGTCTAGTGCAAAGAAAGCTGGGTTCAAAAGCTTCTACCACCACTTACCAGCAGGGGAACCTTGGATAAGTTACTCAACTGAACCTTTCCCAGGCTCATTTCCCCCATGTGGATAATGGTGACAATAAGTCATACCACATCTTCTCATTTTTTATATGGTAGGTTTTGCATCTTGAGGAAAAAGTTTTTTTAAACTGAAAATAAACAGCACAACTTTTAAATAATTAATGATAGTGTAACCTACCGCTGATTTACGAAAGGGCTGGAAAGCTCTGCAAGCAGGCGGAAATTCGCAACATACACCAGCACTCCATCTTTCTAGATGATAAACATAAAATACAATGTCAGGGATAACATGCTTATCAAAATTTCCAAATACTTTAGAAATACTCAACAGCTTCTAGACATGACATATCAGTATGGATAACAGAACAAGAAGTTTTCTACCTTTTACTACTTAACTGGTTTTCCTCACAAGAATTTATAAATGTCCTTAGAATTCAACAATATTTTTAAAAGACAGTATACCGTATGCTTAAGTTTACTTATGCATTTAATGTTCATTTATGAAAACAGGTTTCAAGCAGTTTTCTCATGCTGAATGCTAAACCAATGAACTCTGTATTTAACCTTTATGACAGCATCCTTTAACTACTGAAGAAAGAATTATCACAAAGTAATATGAAATTTCAGAAGGTGAGGAATTTTAACAGCACTTAAGTATCTAATAGGAACTCATTTTTATGTCCATTATTAAGCAGAAGTACCTTTTAAAAATCCTAAAAGCACAATTATACTAAATAAACATATTTAAGTTTGTGAGTAGATACATATTTGTCAAATATAACAACATGTCAAGTCTTGTCTATCATAATCGACCTAAAAAATATACTATCAGACAAAAGATCCTCAAGGTAAAATGCATACCTTGGGGACCTTTCTAAATTTAAACATAATATTGAGTACATTCTACCAAATTAATAACATGAAGAGTACAGTAGAGTTAATAAACATTCGAAAGTAAACCAAAAGTATACGTTCCAAGAATTTTATTCAATGTGCTTTAAAAATTACCTAATTAAAAATTAAGTAAATGGAGTCACTCCAGCTCTTTTAATTAAATCATAATTATAATTACATCTCAAAAAAAAACCCAAATCCTACCTACCCTAATACATTAGATACACACACACAACTTGGGAAATTATTTTTCTATTTTTCTACTGGATATACTATATTAAATAGGAACAACAGGAAGAATTAAAAAATTAAGTGAACTTTTTATTTGAAGATTTTTAGTATCTATTAATGGAAACTACTTTAGAAATTTAAAATTCAAAGCTAAATTAACTTTTCCAAGGTCAACAACTTTTTAAAAAATTTTTTATAGAAATGGAGCACAACTTCTCATTTCTCTGGTTGTATATGATGTAGAGTCACACTTTGCACTCACATCCGTAACATAAGATAATAATGTCTGTCTCATCCCACCATCTTTCTCCCCACACACAGAAAAACACACCCCCCTTCTTCCTAATCCAAGTCCCGCAAGCCTCCCCTGCCAACCCCCAATAAGGAACAACTAACAAAAAAAAAAATTGGCCCTTGGGTTTTTTGGGATTGGCTTACTATGCTTAGCACAATATTCTCCAACTCTATCCATTTACCTATAAATCCCATAATTTCATTCTTTTTTATGCCTGAGTAATATTCTGTTGTGTATATATCCCAGAGTTTCTTTTTTATTATTATTTTTTAGTTGAACACAATATCTTTATTTATTTTTATGTGGTGCTGAGGATCGAATCCAGGGCCTCACATGTGCTAGGCAAGCACTCTACCACTGAGTCACAACCCCAGCCCCAATATCCCACAGTTTCTTTATCTATTCATCCACTGAAGGGCGGCATCTAGGTGGGTTCCAATTTAGCTACTGTGAGTTGAGCTGCTATAAACAGCTCAACTCACAGTAGCTATTAAGATGGCTGCATCACTGTAGAAGGCTGATTTTAAGTCCTTTGGGTATAGACCAAGGAGTGGGATAGCTGGGTCAAAGAGGGTTCCAGTCCAAGTTTTTCCAAGGAATCTCTATACTGCTTTCCAAAGTGGTTGCACCATTTTGCAATCCCACCAGCAATGAATCAATTCACCTTTTCCCTCACATCCTCGCCAGCATTTATTGTTGCTTGAATTCTTGATAATTGCCATTCTGAATGGAGTGAGATAAAAACTTTGTTTTGACTTACATTTCTCTAACTGCTAGAGATGTTGAATATTTTTTCATATATTTGTTGATCGATTGTATATCTTCTCCTGTGAAGTATCTACTCTTTTCCTTAGCCCATTTATTGATTGTGTTATTTGTTTTTTTAGCTAACAACTTTTTATAATGTCAAACTCATTCTCTTTAGTTGATACTGGAATGGATAATGAGTAAGAAGGGAGGAAGGATGGCCAAAGAGACAAAAAATAGCAGACCAGGTGAACACTGGATGACAGGAGGGCAACCAACCTTGGAGAGTCAACCAGGAAAGTTATAGCAATCCCAAAACAAGTAAGTATGAGAAAGTAGTATATCCAGGTTTATTACCTTAAACAGAATATGGTGAACAGTTAACAGTGGCAATTAATGGCAATAACACTCATAAGACAAAAACTTTTGAAAAAAATTTAACAGTATTTATGTTTCTATTCCTTTAACTCAGTTGGATATAACTGAGTAAAGTATAACTTTAACATTAGTAGGTTATAGCACTATATACTTAAAAAAGAGAATATGTAACATGTTTTTTTAAAAAAATGTAAACATGGGGCTAACTGAAGTTATTATCTATCCATCCTGAATTAAAAAACAAAACAAAAACAACATAATCTCTGAATTGCCACAGCCTTTAGGACATCCTTCTTTCCTTGTATTCAACTAAGACAATTCAGATCAAACATAAAATTCACTTTGACTTACAGCTCTGCTCTTCAGCCCACATTATACCAATTCCTGGTGTTTGTCCAATATGGTGAGCTCAAGCTAAATATTCTCCCAATGAAGATGTCTGAGCATAGAATACTTAAGATTTTACTTCTAGCAACAGCAAGCTTTTAAAATTATAAAAAGTAATTTTCCACCTCTTCAGAAATGTCTATCCACTCTTATCTCCAGGCTTTCTTTGGCAGACCAACTGTTAATAAGTCCCTTTGCATACATAAATTCATCACTTTCATCATTTCTGTCTAAAACATTTACCACTTTTATACACTCTAAAGCATACTGGATAGATTCCAAATTTTAAGTCCAGTTCAATGCACTACCCCTTTCTTACCTTATTTGTTTTAGTTTTGAAGCTGTCTCACTTCTAAAAACTGAGTGTTTCACCATATGAATTTTGATAACACATAACATCAAATAACTTAGGTGTAGACAGCTTACCCTTTGCTAAATTCCTTAGGGCCTCCTCAAATATCACCAGTTTTGGAAACTGATGTTTATAAATGTCTGTTTTACTCTAATATTTTTCTGCATTCTCATCCTCAACTTATTTCCAAATAAAGGATACTCTTTTGGCCACAACTCTGAAAATACGATTTTACAACACACTAACATATAATTTCTTTTTGTTGCTGGCAACAGTGACACCTATTTTGTAGGCACGTGTCTTCAGAGGATATTCTTCCTCTCCTGTTTCCACTAACTAAAAAATAACTGCAAATTTGGAGGAAATTTAAAAGTGACAAAAAACTATCATTATGAAAGCCTCAATATCAGTAAGCAAGTCACATCTATTCTTAGCAGTGTTATGCAAAGGCATTTAGCAGGCAATATCTTTTTTATTTTTTTTAGAAAGAAAATATCATTGTATTTGCATTTGCACTATCTGCCGAATAGGAAGGCAGATGAGCAAAATCTAATTTGTATCTGAACCTATCATCAACTTTTGCTAAATATTTTCTTTAGCTTCTTTAAAATCCTTACAGAAATCAACACTTTGATTTGAAACTCCATTTTCTAAATCAAAGTGCCTAAGAGCTGGGGGAGCTTATTTTTGTTGCTGTGATTTGATGCAACAACTGATAAAGAGTATTAGAAAGTATGACCACTGATAAGATCTGATAGAATCAGCTCTATATTAGAAAAGTCAACACATCTCATCAACTCTCCACCCTTTTTGCCTATAGAATGTTTTAATTGCAACCTATGAATTAGTAAAATGTAACTTTATTTCTTTTCATTCAGCAATCAAGGAAACAACTAAATAACATATGTATATTTATGTGGTATTGTCCAAGCTCATTCAATGCCTGCTATTTTCAACTATTTTTTTTGAAGATGACTAAAGTTCAGATTGATTTAGAAGTACTTGTCTATTGCATCCCAGACTTGTGAGATCCTGTCTCCTTAGGTGCTTAAAAAAAAAAACAACTATATATATATATATATATATTTTGGATATAGTTGGACACAATATCTTCATTTTATTTATTTTTATGTGTTGCTGAGGATCAAACCTAGGGCTTCGTATATGCTAGGCGAGCACTCTACCACTGAACCGCAATCCCAGCCCTCCTTAGGTGCTTTTCTGATTCCCGGACTATGCCTGTATTAGTTTGCTCAGAATATCATAACAAAAATAAACTGGATGGATTAAACAGAAATGTATTGTCTCACAGTTCTGGAAGTAGAAATCCAAGATCAAGTATCAACAGGGCCTTTAAAGGTGTTAGGGAAAGATCTATTCCAGGTCTCTGCTGGCTTCTTGCAATTCCTTAGCTTTGATAGCCTAACTCTTCACTTCACATGACTTTCCCCCTAAATACATGTCTAGGTCTAAATTCCCCCCTTTTATAAGGACATCAGTTACAGTATATTAACTCCAATATTAACTTAGCTAATCAAGTCTCCATTAACCCTATTTCCAAATAAAGTCAATTCAATGTATGAATTCCGGAGGGGGCATGATTCAACTCATAATGATGCCAAATCCCAAATTCTTTTCTGTATATTGTGTAGTATGCTTTATTTTGGTTATCTATCTAATTCAATTTTATTTGTCTTTTCATCCATCTGATATAACATGTCATTATATACTAACATATAAAATAATGTTATATAGATTTCCACATATAATAATAACCTTTTCCAGTGATGTGTGGAACATTCTGGATTTGGCATATAATCATTCTAATTTTCATTATCTACACTCTTAGGAAATACACTAATATTCACAGTGTTATACTAGCTCTATGCTAAAACAAATCATAACAGCTAATAGAATGAGCAAAGTCAAAGATGGACTGCTGCTGTTTACAATTACAACACACTTGAATTTCATCCCATAGAATCATGCAACAATGGTTGACCCATTGTTATGAACTACAAGCCAACTACATTATTTTCACATCACAGGAAGATGTTTCCTGAGATGCAGAATTTTCAGTAGTATATGATAAAAATCAGCATAGCCTTGGGCAGGCCATTCCCAACTGTTTAATTATAAATTCATTTTAATATGTAATAGAAAACACATCTGCTGCAAGGAGACAAAGGGATGAGAAAAGGGCAAATGTATGACCTCTCTAACTCATCTAGCATTAAACAAGCACTTTAGAAATAGGAAACAAATTATCATTCACATTTTAAGTTCATGCATATTTTGTGTGCTTTTATAATAAAACAAACTTTGGTGACTTGTTCACAGGTTAGGTGAGTTTGTTCAGAAGAACTGGTTGTCATATTTGGTTAAGAAGAGGCTGGAAGAATAAATAACTGAGTTCAATTGTAGAAAATCCAACTAAAATAGACAAGCTGAAATGTTCTGTTATTCTCTCTCACAGTTAAATTCTGCAGTGAATGAAGGCAAGGGAGAACTTTGAATAGTATGCAATAGTACTCAAGAAAAATTGCAAGGAAAATGTTATTTTAGTGAAATTCTTATTTGAATCAAATTTTAAAATCTTGAAATATTTTATTAGTATAACTTTTTATAAGGTACTCATAAATATAATAGATATACACTTTTCTTTCTTAAAGATAAATTCTCTCATTCATACCATTGTCCTTTTCCCCAGAGTTAAAAACAGCTCTTTCTTCCAGTCTATTTTTCCTATTTGTTTTAAGTCTATGGCATTCTATGTAAATATGTACAACATTAGAGAATATAAAAGGCCAGATTTCTGCAAAATATTATGAGCTAATATGTTCCTAATGTCGGCCAAAATCTTTGCTAAATGACTGTCCTTCACAGCTTTTCCAAAATGAGATCCATTACTAAAATTTATTCTTGTGGTATCTGAAATATTTTAAAACCCCCAAAATTAGAGAAAACACTGAAAGTAGTCATAGCTTTCAGTCTTAAATTTTGAAAAATAATTCTGAAAATTTCTCTCTAGTTAATGAAGTTTGCAAATGCAAAAACATATTCATGAAACACATTAGGGCTAAAGCATTATTTTAGAACTTAACAGATTACTTCTTTCAACTCCCTTCATGTTGGTATAGAATTAAAATTAACAATGAACCAAGAACCAAATTAGTATGTGATAAAGATTTAATTTATGATATTCTTTAAATATTAAAAGTTACTAAGAAAACCAGTAAATGTGCATGCTGTTTGCATCTAAACATCTTTGGTCAAAGTGATAATTCTCCACACCTTAAGGAAACTTTTTTTTTTTAATTTGTAAAAACTTGGCAAAACATCCTAGCCCTTCCCCCCTAATTTCTCTCTTTCTAAACACAGCTCCAGAATATATCACAGGAAGAGTTGACACCTTTCCCCAGTGTGTTTCCTCATGTTTGCTGACCTAGGAAGTCATCCCTACCTTTTTGTGCCAATCTAAATACACATATTTCTGAAGGCTGATTTTAAGTCCTACATATCTCATAATCTTTCTTAGAAAATACAAAAGGGCATAATGCATTGTGAAAAATTTATGTGCAATTTATACAGGCTGTAAGAATATATATCAAATACTGTCAGTAGTTATCTATGGAGAATCAGGCCTAAAATTGTTTTACCTCCTAAGCCTCAAATTTCTGTAAACTCAGAAGTTTTTTTAATTCAAACTTCTGTATATGGAGGGAAAAATTAATACAATGGTCTTTGTAGTTCCTTAAGTTACTAGAGTATTAATGATTTATCACTGGGTGACATTTTGTTTTAATATTTTAATAGTTTCTTATCTCCTTAAGTGAAACTGCAGGTTCCATGATACATTTCCATATCTCCTGCCCTCTGCCCTAGTTCAAAAATCACCCAGTTTTACCATTCCCATTAGTTCTAGTTACAACATCTGAATTAATCCTGAATAAGTCTATCCCTCTTCCACTTAATAATCCTTTCATAATCAACAATTCAGAGCTATCATGTATTCTTCCTGTCTTTTCCAGACAAGACATCTCTAAGTCCTTCAATTATTTGTTATAAAAAAAAGGGTACCTGATGTTATCTCCCTTTTGCAGTTAACTGTCTGCTTTCCCTAGTGGCTCTCCTCTAAATGTATGCAAGATTACAGACACCAAATAATGAGGATACAGGGTGTGATCTGACGAGGAAAACTATAACATGTCCCAATTAGATACTATACCTCTCCTATTGGGGTCTTATAATTGAAGTGGCTTGGGTTTTTTTGCTTTTGCTTTAAGTTGTGATGTACTATTGGTACAATTGAAATGTGATCATTTATCACTTCTATGTCATTATTCCATTCATCTTACTTATAGATTATTAAACCTAAATACACAAAATTTATCACTATTAAGTTCCATCTATTTGTTTCAGCCTATTATCTTAGTAGTAAGCTTTTTAAAAAGTATAGCACATTGTCCAACATCTCCTTCCTAAGTTTGTTCCAGTCATTTGATAAGCTTTTCCTTTAACTTTTTTATTGTGGTAAAATATACATAAATTATCCTCTTGACAACTTTTAAGTGTATGATTCAGTGGCCTTAAATGCACTCATTGCACAACCATCAGCACTACATATCTCCAGAATGTTTTCAAATTCCCAAATTGCAACTCTGTACCCATTAAACAGTAATTTCCCCATTATTCTTTCTGTTCAGTCCTTGGTAACTTGGCATTCTATTTTTTGTCTCTAAAAATTTGATTATTCTAGGTACACATATACAAAGAATATGATGAGCTTGCTTTTTGAGAAAATCTAACAAAACACTAGAGTGGACATGGCAGTCTTCTCTGCTGACAACTATTTTATCATCACATCCAAAGTCAATCCACCAACTGCTCTCTTTCCTGGGATTAAAAGGAAAATAGAATTCTAAAGTCAAGTGAGCTTAGAGAAAGAAAAGGAGACAACTCTGTCAAGGTAATTCCACTATACAAAGCCAAGGCAATACTTTGCCCACAGAAGAATGTGGAAAAATAACAAAAGGACAAGAAAGGTGGTTAATGCCTGACTTGAGTTCTTAAACCAAAACTGAGGAAGGCCTTACAGGAGCTGTGCTATGCTTACAAGTTATTAGGATGATCACATCAGGTGTTCTATATCAAATAGTAAATGCTGAAGTAAATTCCAAAAGAAAACATTCACATATGTATGTGTGTGAATATAAACAAATACATGTAGTTTTTGAAACTGATCACTTAACATTAATGATATGACTAATATCTGAATTAAGAGTTATAAATTAGGGCTAGGGATATAGCTGAGTTAGTAGAGTGCTTGCCTCACATGTACAAGGCCCTAGGTTCAATCCCTAGCACCACAATAAAATAAATAAATAAATAAATAAATAAATAAAAGAGTTTTATTACTATTACTATCTAAATATCTGTGCATCTGTGCAGATTTCTGTGAGATACAGAAATACTAATAAAATAATTAATTTCCCAGATATATATCAGCCTGTCATTCTATCCTTCATCATTAGTATCCTGACCCAGGGGTGAAAGCTAAATATCAGGGGAAAAAAACTAAGATTTTTTTCTCTCTCTACATAAGCAGAGGAAGATTTCTTAAACTCTAAGGTACTCTGCAAGAGAATTTTAAAACTCCAATAAATATAGCAGAGGGAGATACAAAAATAGTGATTAAGATATTATATAACCAATATGTAGTTATTATTTTAGTTAATAAACAAGATACCATTATCACAAGAATGATCCCTGAACGTAGCTAGAGATGGTCTTTTTATATCAACACTTGTGCATTTAGATTAATGTTTACCCTTGAGTTCCTATTTCCAATCTTGTCTACTGGGTAGGCTAAAATAAATCTTGGCACTCACCATTACAAAGAAGTATGCATACAACGCTGTGCAATGGTGAATTATATAACATTTGTCACCAATCACTTTCCAATACAAAATGAGAATCAACAGATCTGTAAGAAGAAAAATAAATAAGACATTACACAGAAAGAAAGCTGCATTGTTTTTCAAGTGTATCTAGTTCTTTCTCCTGACAACTCATCACTGTCTACTCTGAGAAAACACTTTGTTCACCCCTCTTACCCACTTTCTCACTATGTGTCTGCTCTATATATCTGAAGGGCCAAGCTGTGGGTATCTTTGCACCCTCAGAATTTAGGCACTGGCTTATAGCCTGTAAATTTTCTGAAAGTATAAATGACTAACTTATGTTAAAACAAATGAAAACACTATCAAATAAAAAGTAAATTTAAAAGTTGAATTACTGATTTGTCACAAAAATAATGCAAACAGATAAGATGATAGAAAAGATAGAAAACGTTCAAAATTACCAGCTCATTTACAACACATGTTCAACAAAAATTTTTTAAATTAACAACAGTTATAAATAAATACTGACTTACAATAGTAAAATAATCAAAAACTATGACTATTAAAAAGATATGCAGGGGGCTGGGGTTGTGGCTCAGTGGCAGAGTGCTCGCCTAGCACATGTGAGGCCCTGGGTTCAATCCTCAGCACTATATAAAAATAAATAATTAAAACAAAGATATTGTGTCCATGTACAACTAAAAAAAAAATTAAAAAGAAAAAGATATGCAAAGAAAGAAGTCAAGGCATCAATTTTTCTTTAAAAGGGTCTGACTAAATGCCATGATTCAGGAAATAGTTTATAAAAAAAAAAAAACTGCAGAAAATGTTAACACAACTATTTTCTTTACCAAATGGCTAAACATGAAATGTAGAAAGGGAAACAAATGGTTATCATCTCTCCAGGGGAGAATTCAGATTTCGTGGAATCAGAATTTATGGACAACAAGGACGGTGTGTAAAAATAAAAATCATTAACAAACTAGATATGAACATTTTGAAAAAGAAAGCAAATTACAAAATTTAAAGAGAAGTCAAATACCATATTGTGCAAATCTAGAAAAGTAAAATAAATTATTGTTAATTAGCTGCCTGATACCCTTCCCTAAATACATTTATTTTCCCTACATATTCTGTATACTCTCTGGTCACCAACTTCTATGATAATTATTTTGTAACATGTTCTATTGAGAGAATAAAGCAAACTTTTTTCAACTTGGTTTAGAAAAGTTTATTTCAGTGCATAACTCTTGTAAGATTTTTTGGATTGTTATGTTATTTGGAAAACTTTAATCAAATTTCTTGCATATAGTATTTCCTGAGGAGTGACTATTCTCAGACTTAACACTCATTAACTAGTAAATGTGGCATATAATAAATTTTGTGTTAACCTAATCAATAACATCATTTTGTGTCAATTAAGCTATAAATATAGTTTTTGAGTTCACTGATTCACTTTTTAAATTGGGTTATCAAATAATTCAACAGTCTATTCATTATTTATCTTCAAAATGTATCTCTTCCTCTTAATGAATTAATTGTTTTGATACCATATATTTTTGTTATGATTCACTTCTTGATGGCATACAATTTTTGAGTTCATTACTTTATCATTTTCTTTCATATCCCATTATTTTTATTTGTATTTTCTTTCAGTTATTTAATATTTTAAAATTTAAAAATGGGGTTTCTATATAAATGTACAAATAATGGTTCTATTATATCTTTTTTAATTAAGATGATTCAAATGTCTTAATTGTTAATGTATTTATTTAAAAACATCCTTTCAAATTGCAGTTATTTAATGACATATTTTCAACTTACTTCCCTTGGCCTCACTGTAAAAAAGGTCACTCCAATCCCATCCAACATTAGAGAAAATATAACAGCAAAGAATGTAGAGTAGAAAGAGTCTGTGACCATAATTGATTATGGCTAAATAGATTATTTCTGCAAATTCTACCAAAACAATGCAAACCATAACTATTGGAATATATATTTCAAGGACCTAACAGTGAAAGACCTTGAGGCTTAAACTTCATTAGCTTCACAGTAATTACAATGGAGAAACTCTTCAGGAAAAGGAGAGACCACTTAAAAAAAAAAAAAATCTTAAATGCCCTGACCTTGGTGGTTTGAGGCCCCATTCTATAACCTGGAACTTCAGTGAGAATCAGAAAGGCAAGAAAAAAATGTTTCACATTCTTCTGTCATCATGGGTATTATTTTCCTCTGGACAGATTCTGAAAGCTACTTTTCAGATAAACCAAAAGCATAGACTATGTATTCTTTGCATAATTCCATGAGTAGTATAAAAAGAAATAAACAATGAATTAAATATCACATACCAGAAATGAGGTAGCCTGAAGCAGTAGCAATATTCATAGTCGCCAGTGATGATTGACCCCTGTAAATATTTTTTTTTAAAAAAGGTTCTTTTTTAAGCATATGGATTATAGATGAGTTACTTAATGTTTTAAAATTTAAATAGAAATTACTTCTCTTTATTGAGATTTAAATATAATGAAAATGATTTCTTTAGATTCTTGAATGGTAAGCTGTCACTTTCAATATAAATCATAAAACATAGTGGAACCGTGATGTGGCCTATGGTACTGTTACTAGCAGACATATATTTTCCCCAGGATAGCCTGGACCCTCAACCCCTAACAAAATTTAATAGCCTTCCTGTACAAGATGAATTGTTTTAATCAAGAGGTTTTCTGTTGCCTGTACTTTCAATGAAATTTACTCTAGGCCCGGGCAAATCTCTAAAATCTCCTTGTAGATCAATCATCAACTCTTGGAATGAAAACTAGGCTGAAATTCTCTAACTCACTTAAAACCAACCCATACTGATATTAGAACCCAACCCAATATTAAAATCAGGCCTCCTGATCACCTCTAAGATCACCCTATCCATTTGAGAACTATTCCCAGAACCTCTAAATCTAGGAGCACTGTACAGGGCTTGTTTTAAATTTGGAAAATATCACCCATACCATCAATGGCATTCACAATGAATTAGAAGGATAAACTATAAACTTATAAGGTCACGGTTGACCTAAATGAGCAGTGTCTCTGCATCACTTCCAGATCCTATTTCAAACTTGGAAATGCCCCAAGTGTTGTGTTAACTAAAATACTTTTGCTATACAAGTTTGTGTGAAATTACACATACACACACACAAACACACACACATATGCAGATGTTAAAATTTTACTGAAGATTTATAAATATGTTCTCATATAATTTGCTCTCAAATGGTATTCCAGATGATGATTTTTTTTCTTTATTCTAAGTTAGAAATTCAAATGCCTTACGATATCATCTAACTCAACTCTGCTTTTGAGGCCATGTAGTACTTTCATCATAATTTTCCTGAGTATTTTCCTGATCTGCCTATTATCACACTATCAGAAAATGGTTAGAACAGGACAGTTTAACTCTGCTGTTTCCACCCCTACACATATCAAGATCATATATTTTTGCCCCAGCCAGACATCTGATTTGTAATGTAAATTACTAGTAAAATTAATACAAAATAAAACTGATTGCAACTAAACTACAAATTAAAAGAGTTAGCAGAAGTTATGTTTTGTTAATAAATTTTGATCTGTAAACATGACCCAGGAATATCAGATGTGGAATAAATCATGTAATATATGAAAAAAATGTATCAAAAATATCAATTTTTTCTTGTGAGGTTAAAATTTAATAAGGTAAATTTTGACTAATGAATCAAATCTTTGTTAGAAAATTTACTTCTCAAAAGAACTGGTTCTGCTAACAATAATGTTAGTAAAATTAAAATGAAAAAAAATTTTAAAAAGCTAAAAATTGTTTAGGTGGATGATACAAACCTCTGATCAAGGAAATAAATTTGTTAAATTGATTCACTTTGAAAAATACTTCCTAATGAAAATTTATCAACTGGTATATCCTAATAGGAATTATTTCATATGGGCAGGGGGATCCTTAAACAATGGTGGTCAAAGTATCTCATTAAATTGCCCTACATCTCACAAGCCCATAACTACCACACATACCAGTGCAGTGCTTCCACAAAACATACCTCCTTTCTCTCAAGCTAAGCTGAACTAAGCCTTCTTGTGTAATGCTGCAGAATACAGTGTGCAAAATCTCTGCCACTAGAATAACATTTAAATTTTTCAAAAAGAACCATTTATAAATGACCCTATTATTGCTAGTTATTAGTGCTTCTCATGTGGTACTAAATTCCTCTCACATGGCCTTCTATAATTCTCAGTCACCTCATTGATATTAAACAATGGGTCAAACATAAATTTGAAGACAAAATCTTAAGTAGATATTATCCTACCTATCTGACTACAGCTGAATATCCTGTCTCAATGACTCGGTTTTACTCCAAAAAGTGGTTATCACAACTTAGTTTTACTCATTAACACAGTATAAGTATTTATGCTATCATCTTATTCTCCTGGTTTGGGACAACAACTGCAATACTAAAGCAAAATGGCCCTCAGTATTTGCATTCCAAGCTAAAATCATTTTAATGCACCTTGTTGAAGTAAGTCTGAATATAAGCATTTTAATAAAGCATAAACCATCAATATTTTCTGTTTTAAAGTAAGTGGCATTCTTATTAATAATTCATATCCAAACATAAATCAAATTCACTAGTTTGAAAAGAAACAGCTTACCAAAGTGGATCTGCTATGATAGCCTCATCAAAGAAGAAAATGTACAGGCCCAAAATCCCAACCAGCAAAGAATGGCATGTAGATACTACCCTGAAATGAAACAAAATACATATGAAGATTTTAGATTCCTTGCAATAAATTTTAACTCATCCTGGAAAGACCAACATTCTGAAAAAGTTATATCTTGATGCATTAAAATATAGAAGGTGGAGAGTATAATACAAAATTGCCATTTAGATATGAATAACAAGAAGAATGTCAAATCCACAATTTTGTACTAGAAAACTGGTGATTCATTTCTTAGTTAAAAGTTCTGAAGCAGGAGTACATGAGGATCAGTTTTACGCAGACTGAGAGCAGCTGGTAAGGCCTCTATTCTGTGTCCTCTGAGCTCCATCCCAGACAGCATCACTGCAGGAGGAGTCTCCTGCTACAATCAGTTGGGAATGACTTCCAAATCCATTTGCCTTAATCAATTCCATATTCTTAAACCAATTTTAATAGGTCATGACATGAAGATTATCTTGGAGATTTTAGTTTTAAATGTAGATTCACATGCATTATTGCATTTGATTCCTATAACAAATCTGTGAAAAACATGGGCAGCTATTATTAGTTCCTCTTTATCATTATTATGAAAGCACTTCCAAAGAAAAAAACTGAGGGCCATAAATTTATACAGAAAATCTGTTTTACATGAAACACTCAAGTGAAAGCAAAATCTTTACAAGATCCAGGTCAAGTTTTCTTTTATAGAAAGAATAGGGTTTAAATGAAAAACATGTTTTTATGAATATATCTGGCAAATAATTTAGTAACTCAAACAGTACTTGAGCTTTATGATATGCTACTTAAGAACCATACAGGTACTGTGTAATTATCTGCACAATGAAATTTTTTTTATCTAACAATTTCAGATTTCTCAAATCTTTATTTAGAAGTTTACAAGTAATGAAGTATTTCTTTTCATAAGAAAGGATGAACAGGTTTCTAGAGTATGATCCCCAAATCTTCTAAAATGAGCTATATAAATGAACAATATTGAGAGTTTGATATTAGAAAATTTCATCATAACTTGAAAAATCAATATACTCAATCTATAGATCTTAAATAGATATACCATCTTAAACCAAATCATATTTTAAATGCATAAAGATGTTCACTAATTTAGTTATTGACCAAGAATCCTTTGAAATACCCAAAAGATCATCTTGAAGTGAATAATTAAGCCAATTTATCTGGTTTAAAAGCTTGGAATTTTCATGCCAAGCACACCTGTATTCCATTTGAGCACAGCAGGATGAAAATGTAAAATCCTTGCTATCAAGTTAAACACTCCATCTAAATAATCACAGACAGCTCTCTGTGCTATTAGAAAATTATATAGAAGGAAAAAACCTCTCACCAACTAGTTTTAGTGTTTAGTAACTAAGGCAGAAAGTTTCCTTTTTGAAAAAAATCCTTTTTATTTGTGACACTCAGGTTTCAAATGCCCTTCTCTACTGAGATATATATGGTGAATGGAAAGCATTATATCCTTTAGCTGATGGGAAGGGCTCTGGTGAAGAGTATTCATCACAGCAAAATCAAATGCTACTTGGTCTGGTCAGATGGCTCCCACTGTACTGAACAGGAAAAGCAATCATCTTGCACTCACACACCACTTTGCATTTTAAAGTCTATACTTTCAGAAATTTCTGTTAGTAAAAATTTCATATTTTATTTTTTTAAAAATCAGATTCCTGGCAAAAATGTACATATTTCTTAGCATCTAAAAAATAAACACCAAAATAAAATATTTTTTTTCAAAGAGTTAAAAAGAAGTATTTGGGCTTATAAGTGGCACTTTACAGAAACAATCAATGACCATTTCGGAACAGCAATTTAAAGTTACTAACTTAATCACAAGTAGTGTGAATATTGCCAGTAGACACTATATAGTTCTAATAAGCAAAAGAGTTAAATTTGGGAGAAAGAGATTTTAAAATGAGTAATATTTTAACATAATCAGACTTCCTTATGCTATAAGTAAGCAATTGAATATAAATAACTCAAAAAATTTTAATTGTAAGATGGAAAATATACTCATAAGTAGGTTTGTTTCCAGAAAAAAACATAATTAAAGTAAAATTTCACCTATAATTAAACTATTATCAGGTGTTCATTTCCCAGTATTTTCTTTGTCCTTTTACTAGTAAATACCTTAGGCCACTTATTGTTCAAAGATTCTTTCCTGATTACTAGAAAGAATGCTGTGTGCTATATTGATCTGTATGTTTTAAGACTGGAAGCTGAATCTTAACACACATATATCTGTACTTTACAAAAAAAGAAAGAAAGGCCTATTTTTTCCTTATTTGCACTCTTTAGTCCCATGTAAAGCTGGAGTAGGAAACAGAGGTTTGAGAGACAGAAAGTGGAGGAAACACCTTTTAAACAGCTAAATGAATCTTGTATTATCCTAGATGCCTTTTTCAAATAGAAACTCACTTTCCCAAATGGTAATTTTCTGCATCATAGAAGGATAGTGATGAGACTGAATAATACAAAATATTTTTCAATTTCATCATTTCATTTTCATCTTTGCTTCTATCTCTTCGTACCCTCATTTCTTTGGCTTGCAGCTACCCAATAATCAAATGTCTTTACCTACCCTAACCACAGTGAAAAGAAATGAAAATAGTTTAAAATACAATCAAAGAATGTATGTCTCCACAGCCCTGTCTTTCCCACCATTCCAATTATCTTCAAATGTTAAAATAATCATATCTCTAGTACACCACATGTGAATAATATTTTTGAGCTAGTATTAACACAAACTAATCACATCTCTTTTTTAAAAAAATATCTTAAGAAAAATTTGGAGGTTGGGGGACTAGGAGGGTAAAAAGAACAGCAGTACATATGAACCAGACATATTAGTGTACACAAGAAAACACTAGATTTTTATTCACAGTCTGAGTTATAGAAGTGAATGACTGCAAAACAAATAGGCTAGGAGACAGACAAGGGATTTCAGGTCAAATAAGACAATTCTTAGACATGGGTAGAAGTTCTTCACTTCTAAAAGGAAATTTCAGTAAAGAATATGATAGTAATTTTAGAAATGCTAAATCCAGTTTATAGTCGTGTTAACTTCAACTAAATACTAATAATTAAAAAAAAAAACAATTTACAATGGCTGAGGCAACATCTGAGCACATGAATGCTCTAAAGCCAAGAGAGCAGTAGCAGTCATTTTGCATCTGAACCCTTGTGAGATTAATGGGTTGCACACAAAGAATTTGCAACCAATTTAAGAAAACTTCAGTAGATTTCTTCAATCATAAACTAATTCTTGTTCCATTGATTTTGTTATTGTTAAAAAACTAAAATGCAGTTACACTTTAGAATTACATAATAAAATAATAAGTTCTGACAGTCTCCAAATTATAATAGAAGGTCTATTAAAAGACACAGATGGGCAGATCATACACTATGTTCTCTGGTTGTATACTTTAACTGCCCTGGGTCTGGATAAGCTGGCCAATACTGTATAAGCTACTCACAATTCCAGCAAATGTTTTCTCCTTTTCTCCTTGCCAAAAAATATGTTTGTTATTACAAAGAGTTCAGAGAAGAATGCAAAATCGTGAACTTCCAGTTGCTGGAGTCTACCTAATCTTCCTACACTTACTTCCCTGGAAAGTGCAATACATTATTCCTAACATTTTTCAATATAAGAATTTTTAAATTTTTCTTGTGTGAGATCAATCTATTTGTCTTTTCTTTTATTTCTAAGGTCAAACTAAAAAATAGACCATGAATTTTTGTTAGATTCTAAATGAAAGCCTTTTAAAAACTATTTTAAATAATTTGCTTTAGAAAATCAGTTTTCTTTTAAGTCAAGTATGTTTTCATATGCTTTACCTTGAGTTCCATTCAATCTTCTTTTCAAAGCTGAGATTATTAAAACCTGGAGAAACTTTTGCTGAAAACCAAGAACTTACAAAGTGGAAAAGAAGCTGAAAGATGAGAAAGCTGGTACAAAGTGTGCTGCTGACCAGTATGGTGTTGGTATCCATATTTCTTCAACCTGTGAAGAAAAATGATGGTTATAAATTGCTATTTCATGACAAGATTAATTTTTTTAATTTTAAAAAAATGTGTACTTCTATTGTTATTGATATTTTTAAATTTAGCACAAGTGTAAGAATATAAACTATAAGAATTTTAATTTTTAATGATACCAGGGATTGAACTCAGGAAATGGATGCTAGGCAAATATAATTACATAATAAGATATTCTTAATTTCTTCTCAGTATTTTTTGTATTGCCTTTTTACTACTATATAGGAATTCTGGTTATTTTGGTATAAATAATTAAGATATTCACCCTTTTATTTATTTTATTTCATAAAAATAAGAATAAGGCATTCTCTTACTTACAATGCTATCTGTTCACTTGATTCAGTAGTAAACAATTATTATATAAAAATAGAGTTGAATGACCTTATAATGTATTTCTTTTTACTTAATTTTTAGGGAAAATATGGCATTTCTGGAAACAATTGCTATATTTTAAAACATATCTGTTTTAGTTGATAATTTAACTGTTGTAACTCACGTATTTTCTTTTGGTCACAGGAAAATAATAGTTAACCAAAAATGTAGTCCAATTTTAAAAAACTGCATTTGACTCATATCTGTACATTGGCTTAACTCACGCTGATGTTACCCATGATAATGTAGTCTTATTCTATGATTTATTAAATGAATTAATTAAATTAAATTAATATTAAAAATTTTAAACCTTTTGTATGTTTCTTCACCTTTACCATCTATTTGTCATATAGCTTACATTTATATTAAAATTTTTTTTAAAAAACTCTTAATTTAAAAATCTCAATATTCAAAATTATCTAAGTCTAGAATTTAACAGTCAGAGGGAATTTCAAATACTATTACAAAATATTCTTTTAATTATATTATTAATTATATTTAGGACAAATCACCTGATTTTTCTGTGACTGAATTCTCATCTTTCAGTTGGGAAAGTTAGATAATTTCTAAGAAACAATTAAGCCAAAAAGCATAGAACATTGTTTGCAATAACAAAACAAAAATTACATAATGAAAACATATGTATAGTGAGACATTTAAAACAAAATTAAATTCTTAAGAATGATAGTCTTTAAAAAGTAGTCTTTAAAAAGAACCATACCACTGTTACTATTTAAATTAATATTCAACTTTTTTCCTTAGAACAAAAAGCCTCCATGGACTTTTAATTTTTTTTTTTAATAAAAGAGCTTCAGGTTTTAAGGACAGAGCAGAAAGAAAAGGAATATGCATATGTATACACACACACAAAATATGTTTTTTTATCTTATTGAACTGAACCTTATTTGGCTCTTAAAAATCTGTGGAACATTCAGATCAAAAAAAGACACTATAGCATTTGCTCATATCCAGCAAATATAACATTTCTATGGCTCCATCTTTGATAGAGCTGATCCTAAAATGAAAAGGAAATGAATCAATACACATTTCCAGCTGCCTAATGTGAAGAAATAAAGTCACCTACTGGAGCCAATTCACTAGAGAAAAACCAAGTCATTGACAGCACTAGCAATAACCCCACTTCATTCTCTTCCAACCAGGATATCACACTAAGAATCAGTCTCCCACAGGGCCCCTTCCAACAGAATTCATATGTCTGTAATGAATTCTTTCCTTTTTTTTTTTTTTTTGATGTGTGTGCTTGGTAGAACTATTGATATTGCAATTCTTCTCTGTGAAACTCCATTAACTTTATTGCTCATTTACTTTTTTTTAGTTTTGTTCAACATGTGTTTATTTGGCATTAAAAAAATTAATTTGTGGCCTTTTTAGTCTAGGTTTAGTATTAACCAAATAACACATAGAAATTTGTACATAAATTAAACACCATTATAATTTTCTTAGTAAGCTATAAAGGGGAAAAATTTTTTCTAAGATTAAAGTAAAGAGGGATCTGGAGGTCAGATGGACAGTTAATTGAAGAAAACAGAATCAGCAATCAGAAGGGAGTGAGAGTCAAACTTAAATGTGAGGATGGTTTGTCCTGAAGGCTTCTGATGTTCCTTGCTGGCTCTGGAGCTGGGGATGGGCATGGGTTGCTCATGTGATGCTCAGTGAATTTCATTAGAGTTCAAGATATACAATGAGTATTTCATGAATCTTTGTTAAAAAATGTCATAAAACATATGTCATCCACATTATCCAGTTTGTGATTTGTTCTTTTAACTAATATATTAAAAAGCATTCAGATAGCCAGGCGCCAAGGTGCACACCTGTAATTCCAGCAGCTTGGGAGGCTAAGGCAAGAGGATTGTGAATTCAGACCAGCCTCAGTAAAAGTGAGGAGCTAAGCAACTTCGTGAGATTCTGTCTCCAAATAAAATACAAAATAGGGATGGGGATGTGGCTCAGTGGTCGAATGCTCCTGAGTTCTATCCCTAGTACCAAAAAAAAACAAAAAAAGCATTTAAATAATTCATCATTAAAAAACTTACCATTCCCCTCCCCCAAATTATAGTTTTTTATTAAATCTGTTATATTGGATGAATATTTTATATTTTTAACAGACTTATTTTCAGTTAAGTCTTTGGGATGTATGCTGAGTCTTCTTTGCAAAAAAATCTTCCATTTAAAACTAAATATTAAGCTCAATATATTCAAGCTATGGCTCCTATTAAAGGCTCAACAGACAGAAGCTAATTAAATTGTTCTACTCCCAGCTCTGCTTCTTAATAAGCAGTTGCTTGCCTAATCAGTCATGCCAAATCAAGGACTAATCTAGAGATTTTTAGAAATTTCCCCAGAAAATCAACGTTTCTGGTAGGAAGCAGTTGTTCCTATTTATTTGTTTTAAGTTTCTGAATCAAGCAAGACCATGTTTAAAATGGATAAAACCAAATGATGCTCATTACTAACATAAATAAAGGGCCTTTGAGAGTTTGGTGATTATCAAGCATAGGAATACACATTAGGAGAAGCATTAGGCCTAGTTCATTTACCTCTACATGTGGCTAGCAGCTGGCAGAAAGCTGGGAAACTAGCTGTCCTGGAGAAAAGCAGCTGAAACAGATATGGGAAATATTTCTGGGTCAACGTACAAGAGTATCTAGACATGAACTCTATAATACAATTATCCCATCTGAATTCAAAGGACACCAATAGAACTCTTCTAGAGACCTGCTGAATACAATGATTTTGTACTTTTCCCCCAAGACAGTATACACTTTAACTGAGGCTGATTTCTTGGTAAAAAAGGACATGAAAAAGGTCTGGGGTACACCTCACCACCATCATCTATGAAAGCCCTCTTAAGCCTACACTAGACACAAAGATAAGGGCCCGAGGCAGCATAGCCAGGCCTGATTCAGTCCTCACTTCAGTCAAGGGCCCATCCAACATCTGACACTTGTCCACCATGTGCCAGGCATTGTGCTGGCGTTCTAAACACTAAATGGGAGTCATGATTATAAGCCTGGAAGGAAGCAAAAAAAAAACAATCCTTACCACATAAAGTGGTAAATGTTGAGTGTGTCCTACAGGGACACTCCCTGCTCTCTAGGAAATAAATAACCAGCAGAGATGACACATAAAGAGTGAGGCGATATCCAATACTATTTAAGGTGAAACAAGACTTGGTTCTGCTGAGTGAGTTTAAAACACACTCTCCCTCCAGCAACCACAACTGTTACTCTCACTTTTCTCTGTTCGTTAATCCTTTGTAAGTACAGTGATTCCCTAGCCAATGTATCAGAGTTGCCAATGCCATTTCCACATGCACACACAACTCCACCCCTCACATTCTGATACAGCTCCCAGGAAAGACCCCTGCTACAGTGTTCAGCAATAAAACCCTTAAAGAGAGGGGAAAGATCAGTGTGTTCATCTTTAAAGCCGGCAGGGAAGAGGAAAGCTGGGATAATGCCGCATTCAGGCTTAGCATTCCCTTGCCTAATGAGCTCCTTTTCCTACTTCCCTGCAGTAAAAGGGAAAAGTCCAAATATATATTCACTGCTCTCAAATCTCCAGTTCTCCCTCTTTTATAAAAGATAAGGTTTCTTTCCATTTCACACACACAAAAAAAATAAAGGCTATTGGGCATGAACTCCCTCAACTTGTTAATGTTTACCACTTCTGACCACCTGAATCTCTTCTCTGTACACTACAGTCTCTACCTGGCTTCCCCATGCTCTGAACACTGCTTATGTTATGTGTAACCGTAGCTGCCATCCCCCACCACACCAGAGCTGGCCAGTTAGCTTGCCTCTGTATGCTGCATGTGGGCATCCTGCAGGCTCCACAGGCTCTATCTGGCCCAAGATGAACTTAACCAAAATCAGCCCTTTCTCCATGGCTCCATAGTTCAGTGAACTGCAAGGCCTTCACTTTTCCCCACCTGCTGACCTAGAACAGCTCAGTCACTGCTAATGCCTTCTCAGCCCTTACCTCACAAACAAATGACAAGTTCTAGTGGACTACCTAATGAAGGATAATCTGATTCTAGCAAAGTGATAGCTTTGAACACTACAAAGAAATGTAGCTGGATAACAAGTTAGGTAAATCCAGAGCTGGCTGAAAAACTAGAAACTGTATATAGATCAATGATCTGAAACAGACTTGGAAAGTAACTCCTGGGAGTTTGTAAGTTTTTCCCAGTAAACTTTTTTTTACAAATATTTGTTAACTATTTAATTATGGGAATAAACTTTTAAAGGCAACAAACACAGGAACTTAGCATAATAGCAACACACACACACACACACACACACATAGACACACACACAACTTTAACTTATAAATAACACAAACCAAGGAGAGACAATAGGATAATGAAGATACCAAACACACAAAAAAAACAAGGCTTGTTTATATATCAGGACAAAGTATACCTTTCAATCAATGTAAGTATCAGTCCAATTTAATTTAGAATTAATCACATACTAAAATAGCTTTACAAAAGTATAAATAAGACAGTGTTTTTTAGATGAAGATTTAAGGTACTGAGTAATGTTAGGATGGGAGCATGTCTGAGAACTTTAGAGCAATCTTCCAACAAATCAAAAATTTTTCATGAAGAAAAATGCAAAAAGGAACTTTGGTTTCCTCAAAATACCACAAGTGGGCAAAAATGGTAGTAAGGGAAGAGTTCAGTTTAATTTAAAGATGATCCACCTAACAATTTAGTAGTATCCGAGTATTCATCACAGAAGTGGTAAAGGACAGACAGGAGGTGGTCAGCTGACAGTGGGCATTAGTCCATCTTCCAGAGTGCTTTCAGAATGAGAATCTGGATCTAGGATTGAACTTAATTTGGGGATCTAAAAAGGCAGCTCTGTATTAAAGACTACATTGACTTCTCAAAATTCTATCACTTATATTTTTAAAAAACTCAAAATTTTCACATGTAAGGAAATGTTAAATGCATACAACATTGCCAAAAGTATGCAGGCTCACAGTCTTGAGTTGCAGTCTCAGTTCCACCATTTGTTAGCTGCACTTAACTTGCCTTAAATGAACCTCAGTTTCCTCAAGTTGGAGATGGCAATAGCACTGACAAGGCTGTTGTGGGGAATAAACAATGTAATGTCCCTTGAGCACTAAGAATAGTATGGTTTGCACTCAGTAAATTTCTGCTTCCATCATCATCTCTATCAATATGCAGGACAAGCAGTTTCTGGGCCTGTCATGACTCCAGCCAAGGAAAACAAGATCACTTGTCCCTGGGCTCCTAACTCATCCCTATTTTCACAAGAAAAAACCTTAAATGTAGGCAGTTCCTGCTAAAGAAATCCATCCTCTACTACTTGGGTATATTTGCCCTGCTCCAAAATTTCTTTCCAGCCACCTTCCCAGACTATCATCCCCTGTATCTCCCAAATCCTTTCACTGGGTTCCCTGGAACTATTAATCCATATCCAGAAAACAGTGCTATATCCCTGACCTCTCCTCTGAGCACTCTGACACCTCTCTTCTCTTTGAAGAGAGATGTCATTGTGGCTGCCTAGACTCCCACACTCCACAGTCAGGTAGTGGCCTGAGTACCCTCTTTGATCTTTATGGTAAGCAAAGCCCCTTCCAGCCTTACTTCCCATTCCCCACCCTCTTAAACACCCACTTCCCTTTTGGTCTTGCCATTCAGTCCCCCAGCCCTCTTCCTCTCCTCATTTGTGTCATATTCTAACCTTCCAAACGTTTCCTCTCATGTACATATTGAACCCAGTTCACTGATGTCCTCTAGCGCCACCATCATCCTGAGTCATTTCTCGTCTGTGCAGATAGACCAGTATCACCTTGACAACTCAGTCCTTTTTATCTTCACCTGGACTAGCACCTCTTCCACCCATAACCATCATCCCTCATCCATCACTCTTCTGTCTCCAAAGTAACATTTGTTCAAGAGTTTCCTTTATTGGCTTAGCTTCCTTTCCTTTGAACCTGTTCATAGTTCAACATTCGCAAATTCAACTAACCCCTCAGCTTTTCCCCAATGCATTAGCCCTTTCCTTTTTTTTTTTAAACTTCTCTCTTTAATCAATTAGTTCTTAAAGCCCATCATTTCTGTAATACTCTAAGACCCTACATTCCCCTTCCCTTGCCAAGAGCTGGCAAAACCCAAATCCCTCAATATGCCTAACTATTTACTCAATAACAAGCCCTGAACAATCAGAGCCCTGTTGGAGAAAGTCAGATGTAGAAGGGATTGAAGTTGGTGAATATGAAATTATAGAGGGATCAAACAGCCCTTCAACACTGTCCTGCACTCCAACTACAGAGCTTTGGCCAAGCAGTCCTCATATTTCATAGTAAAATTTCCAAATCTTCCTTATTCTTTTTGAAACTCCAAATATCCTTCCCCTTTCTTAGCCATATAACCCTAACCCTACTTCACACACACACAAAAAAATACATATACACACATATATGAAGCCAATGTATGAAAACTTCAATATCCCACTTCCAACTCTACAAACCATGTGCATCTGCACCCATCTGCCTTCCTGTCTGAGGCCAGCCTCCCCAATATCTGCATTTTAGATTCACCCTTACCGGCTTTCTTGCGAATCTTTTGCTGTCTATTCTCCTCCTAAACTGGCTCTATTAGCTTTTAAGCAGGCTCAAGTCACCAGAAGAAAAAAAAAATTAATAGCAGTCTTTTTCAATCCTATCTCTTTTCCCACAGCTCGCTCGCTCTCTCTCTCTCTCTCTCTCTCTCTCTCTCTCTCTCTGTCTCTCTCTCTCATTCTTGCTCTCGCTATCCTGACTCCTTTACAAAGTTCTGGGAAGATTTGGCCATACTCTGTGATATTTCATCTCACTCTTCAACCCACTCCACTCTCATCCCCTAATAACTCCCTTTCTGTACTTTCCTACTCAGCCACAACATTAAATCTGCCATCAAGTCCTATGGATTTTACTTCTTAAATAGTTTTCAAAAAGATCCATTTTTCTCAAGTTACTACATCACTTTTCTGGATTACCTCCAAATTGGCCTCCTTAGTGTGAAGAAGAGTGGAGGACTTCAGGGAAATCTTATTTTTTTTCCCCAAAAGCTGTCTCCAATCATGTCACTTCCTTCTTACTCTCAACTTAAAATCTTCATTGGTTTCCAACACTCTCATGGGGACCCCACCTTCTCCATCTGGCACTTCCCTCACTTGCTACACTACAGACAATGTAGCCTTCTTCTGTTTCTTAACAATGCTGTGTTCCCTCCTTCCACAAGGTCTTTGCCACTGTATTCCTCCACTCCTATCCCTGCCTCTCCACTCCCAAGTTAACTCCCATGCTCTTCTGCCCTCAGGTCAATCCTCACTTTCTCAGGAAGGCTTCTACAAACTCTGTCAACAGGTCAATTTCCCCATTATCTGTCTCACAGCACTGCTCCTCTTCTTTGCAGCTGGAACTTGAACAATGTCTCCTTCTCTTAGGGGAATGTGTGTCCCATGAGAGTGGAAAACATGGCCATGTTTCCCTCACCATTGTATCCCCATACCTAACACAGTGACTGCCACACAGAAGGTTCTCCACAAATGTCTGTTAAATATTGACAGATATTCATATTC